CCTTTTCACATATCCGTTGAGACATTGTTACATTACTATTTGACAAATTTCATTACCGAATGACAGAACACATATCGAATGACAATCTAAAATAACTGTTGGTGGTATGTCATTCTCCAATTGTTACATTCTCAAACTATATGTAGACTGTCGGTTTATTGTTCACGTCTGTCAACTTCATAACTTATGTCAATCACTTCCTTTAGCATGAACGAACAGTTATTTTAGATTGTCATTCGATATGTGTTCTGTCATTCGGTTATGAAATTTGTCAAATAGTTATGTAACAATGTCTCAACGGATATGTGAAAAGGTGTACTTGTGGAGGCCCATCTGACCAACAGCCTCAGGGAAGCAGCAGCCAGCGGGAAGGTCCTTCTCCCTGGCCGGTCGTGGTAAAACTACTCTATTATCTGTCTACTCTTTCTCCTGCTCTTACGCAACCTATCATACCCTAACATAACCAAACCTAAATCTAACCTTACTTAATCTAATCAAACCTTACTTAACCTAACCGATCCTTACTTAACTTAATACCTTACTTAACCTAACCTTCCATAAACCTAATCAAAACTAATCAAACCCAACCCAACTTAACCTAACCTGATGGCCAAAGGAATGCACTGTAAGAGAGAGAAAGGAGTGGAAGGGAAGAGGAAAGATGGAGGGGGGAATATGAGGAAGATGGTAAAATTGAGAGGGTAGAGGGAGTAAGGAGTGGGGGGTGAGGACTGTTGAGATAATAAGTAGGACAAGTATGGAGAAAATGGGAGAAGGAAGGTAAGAACAATCAGCGCCTTGGTGCACCACCACCAGCACAACTACTTACCCTCACCCAGGACTCCGCCTCCGTGAAGCAGTTACCACATCCTTACCTGAAACAAAACCAAGGTTTAATTAATTTTATTTTTTCATTTGCTACAACCATTACTACAACCACTACTAAATTAAAACTTTTCTAAATCCCGGCACCAATACAGAAGGAGCATTACCCTGGTCTGTATTTTGGGTATTTTTTTATGTAAATGAGAGCTGACTATTTTAAAAACTATTGATCATAGCATAACACATCCGAGCCCGTCTACGTCATCACCGGGTAGTGACATCAGTGCCCAGGCCAACAGTAACAAGAAGAGAAGTCACTGTCCCGCGGGAACCACACACAGGAGTCTTCACTTACACTTTCCTCACAGTGAGCCGGGCTGGAGGCGGGTAAGGCGGCGAGGCGACCATGACCATGTGTATAATCTGACATACACGTGTGAGGTCATGACACTTAAGAGGGTCTGGACTCGGGACTAAGCCGAATTAAAGACATGTGTGCCCGTGACCACACTTACGACGGAGTTAATGTGACGGTGGTGAGGGAGGAGGACCCTTCCACCACAGAACATGGCGTCAACAATAGAATGCAGTTTCCAAAAGCTATATAAACGACAAAACTCAAATGTTAATATTCAACGTATTGTTTTATATCCCTACGTTATACCCTGAATAATTTCTGACGATCCTTCTCAAATATCTTCAATCATTAGTAAATAGTTATGACAAGAAACGTGTCTGATCTCTCCCTGAGCTATTTATTTATTACGAAAACTAAAATAAAACGCAACTTAAAAATTGACTCAGACCGAGCGGCGACACACAACTTCATCCCGCCCTGGTGGGTCATGTCACGTTCCACTTATGACACCTGCCAGTCATGTCACATACTGGGTCATGACAGGTGCCGTATCAGCCACACCTTCAGTCAACACACACCATGACACACAAGAGTAAACAATAATAGGTGTCTTGTGGGTCAACGCCGCCTTAACCTGTGACTACCAGCGTTTATTCCCAGTTGTTTGTTGTTGTTACGAATACTATTGTAGTACTGCAACAACAACCACAACAACAACAGCAACAATAACAACAACAACTACTACTACTGATATTATTATTATTACTACTACTATTAAAATACTATTGATACACCTACTTCCACTACTACTATTGCCGATATTCCAACTACAAATACTACGACAACTGTTACGTCACCCACAGTAATCCCCTTCGACCATACAGTTACAACAATGGCTACCAAACTGCCATAACTACCACCATCACCAGCATGTGTGTGTGTGTGTCCATAATAGCACCAGTAATATCACCATCTCTGTAACTATCACCACTCTCACTCCTCCTTCGCTTCGTACTATTACAACAATAAATAATACTTTTACAACTATTACCACTATCACTATTAATTCCAAGCAATATTTTTACTATCTCTTAACTAACGTGACTATTTTGTTATCATTCACTTCAATATTATTAACCACACCACAGTTACTACTTCTACTATAACTACTGTTACTGCTACTTCTACTATAACTACTGTTACTGCTACTTCTACTATTAATACGAATGTAGGAAAAAATGGCACAGAAAAAATGGCAATAGGAAAATATGGCACGAAAAAAAACGGCATAATCATCAGACTAGAAAAAATGGCACATTAAATTTTATTGACATGTTTTCGCTAAAATTTTATAACGTTTGTTACTGAAACTTACTTAGAGTTATATCAACGCCATAACATAAAACATTCATTACCTTGAACTAAAACATTCTACCGTATGTTAGTGAAAACCAGCCCATAAATAAATTACAAAATTAAAAATGTCACATTGCATATTATTGTTTAAAATTTCCAACGAATGTTACAGCCAGCGCCTTGCAAAAACTCTTTGGACTGACTTCAGACCAGCTTGGCGGTCCTGGCAGAGAGTCTTCAGCCTTGTCTGGAGGTTCTTGTAAGCAAGTTTTTGGCGCTTCCCGGGTGGCTCACCACGAGATTCTTTGATAATGTGAGATGATACAACAGCATGGTCAGCTTGTATCCACTAGATGGAACGCCAGATAGTTGGGTGGCTGTGCCCAACCAACCTGGTAGTAGAGGAAGTAAAGTGAGACCTCACTTGGATTACGCAGTTCAGTTCTGGTCACCGTACTAGAGAATGAATATAGAATCCCTTGAAAGAATTCAGAGGAGGATGGCAAGACTATTCCCGGGCATTAGGAACCTTGAGTACAGAGACATGTTAAAACATCTTAATTTGCACTCCCTCGAGAGACGTAGAGTGAGAGGCGACATGATCGAGGTGTATAAATGGAAGTCGGCTAAACAAAGGTGATATAACAAATTACCAAATATCATCATTAACTCTAATACGCTGGATAGCTTCAAACAGGCTCGTTAGCTCTTTTGTGATTTGTGAGCTCGAAGTGAAATTTGTTGTGCCATTTTTTCCTCGTGTGAAAATTGTGCCATTTTTTCCGAGTACCATTAATACCACTGAAACTACAAGGGTGAAGGGGTGAGGAAGTTAAACTGACGTATGTTACTAAAAGAATTTAAGTCTAAAATAAGTGATCCGACTAAATTGTTGAGGAAATCATGTGTGCCTTAGCGTACGTCCAGCAACACTGTATACGTGACTGTGTGTGTGTGTGTGTGTGTGTGTGTGTGTTCAACATCATTAAAAAGTATTCTATTTACTATATGTGTAAATGTAATTGCCATAATCATTTATTCTATTTTCATTATTACTAACACTCACATTGCTATTATAATTATCATCATTGTTAATACTCACAACCCACACGACCACAGAAAGTGTTCCTACATTAAACTTATCGGAAAAAGAAAGATAAATGTTATTGTACCCCGCTAGGGCTCAAGTCCACCACACTTTCACAGCTATGACACAATATGAACAGCACGACTCGACGCCTAATAACTGGTCCATAGTAGTCGTACTCTGCTAGTACTACACCTCAACCAGTCCTTCCTGCAGGGAAACAAATACAAGTGTGGCCACGGATAGGTCTCGCTCGTTGGTTTCTTAAGAACCTGACATAATCACGGAAACTTAATGTTGGCGCCGTCCTCGCTGTCGTCGGCAAAGTGATACGTTTGTGTTGCCTCCCGCAACATTCCTGGCAGGTGAGACAACCAGGTATATACTGTACTTGTGAGCACACCTGGTGGTCTTCACTAGTACTGGTGAGACACTTACCCGTTAGTTATGCCCCTCTCTCTCTCTCTCTCTCTCTCTTACACAACGCTAGCCTCTGAGTCATTTTTTGCAGCTTCCTCTCTCCACCAACACCTTATTAGTGTTCATTTACATTAACCATCTTATACGAAACAGACGGGGGAGAGAGGGGGTGTAGAAGGTTCTAGAGACTAAAACGGCCACATTAACAAACCTGAGTACAGGCCTTCCCTAACGCGTGTCCACCTCATTCCCCCACCAGCTTATTAACCTTCATATCACACTTTCTACACGTGGTGTCTTGCTGGTACGTGTGACAGGTGCAGAGGGTGAAGAGTAGACGTAGAGCGTTCCTGGCCGATGAATGATACACGCCTGGCCGACACCTAAGTCTATACAGCCTATCACTTAACACGCAGTACTGGACTTGTACCCTCTTTTCTGAGCCAGTACACATACTTGTCACATCACATGGCACTTTATACATACATACATACACACACACACACACACACACACACACACACACACTACTATGGATGAAAGGTGTATGGGGGTTGACAAGTCCTCGAGGGATGATAAAACACGACACTTGGGAGACCTAATAACACGTCATTAACACCGCCTATACAAGAGGTGTACTTTATTCCCCACGCCTCAGTTCACATACACTTTCTCTCTCCACTCTGCGTTGTAATCTCTGAATGATCTCAAAAGTTCACGTCATGGTGTGGGTTGGCCCTTACCTGCTCTTGGAAGATGTAATGGTGTTAGTTGTTTGTGATGAGATTATGTACAACTGTTAGCATAAAATGAGTGGGAGAGAGAGTGTGGATGACTTGTATTGTGGTTTTCAGAATAATAGAAAACCACAAACAGCTCATTTGTGTCCCCATGATCTGTCATCAGCGTGACCCGCCACCAGATAGAGTGCAGGTAAACTCTAAGATAACTTACCTTTATGGGCGCTCGTCTCCTCCAGGCGTGTGGGCGGCGGACACCCAGGCCCAGACGTTGCTCCTGTACCCGTAGTCTGGCCATGGCCGCCCTTAACGTGGCCTGCACGTCCTCATCGTCACTATCCTCTTCACTGTCTCTCTCCTTCTCCTCCTCCTCCTCTTCCTCGCAGGATGACCCGAAGTAGTCAGAGTCTTGGGTGTGGTCTTGGTGATGATGGGCGGGTGTGGGCGTGGGGGAGGTGGAGGTGACAGAGGAGTCAGAGCGGGAGCTGAGGCTGTAGTCGCTGGTGTGGCTCACCTTCCTCAGCAGCATCAGTTCCAGATCACAAGTCTCCTCCTCCAGGCGTGGTGGTGGGTCATCCAGGGCTTGTGTGGGGTCGTCAAGGGCGCGAGTGGTACAGAGTGCGCGTCCACACGTCCCCAGACTGACCACGGTGCTGTAGCGTCGCCCGGACGTGGTGTCCCCAGATGCGAGGGCGGCACCATCCTGTTGAGCTGTCTTGTCTCTGTCTCTTCCCGTCACCGTGATTACTGTCCGATGTAATGCCTCTGTCGTCCCCACGTAGACGCCTTCACCGCTACTCTTCTCACCAGAGTCCTTTCTTGGTGGGCCACAACAGCGCCCATGGTCACCCACACTAGTATTTACCTCACACTTGTTCCCACACTCACACTTGTGATGCTTGGCGGCTGTGGGCTGCGTCATGACGGGCGTGGGCTGGGTGGGTAGGGGTGTAGTGGAAGGGGCATGGGAGGGACTAGACTCCCTAGTGGTTGTGGTAGTGGGCGTGGCGGCGGGCGGGTGCTCGTGGATGATAGGGCCAGACATCTGCCTCAGGGATATACACACGTTGTAGAACACTGGCTGCCCACACGCCCACGCCTCAGACCCTATACCAGGCATGTTGGTTTATACTCAGCGTCCTGCCACCCCCTTGGTCACACACACGTCCCTGCTGACTGTGTGTATCACTTTCACTGAGTTTTCTATGTATCGAGGGGTTCGTTCACCTTGTCTTCTATGAATCAAGGGGTTCGTTCAGACAGGTTTTATACATCAAAGGTTTCTTTCACTGATTTCGATGCATCACTCGGTCAGATTACAAAACACCAAGGCACACACACGTTCATGATCAACCAGAGCGGTCCATCAACGCATGACCAGCATCACCACGCTCCGAATAATCTTGAGAGATGTTCACACAATCTTCAATAACTTAAATTGACATAAATATTGAGTCGCTGATGTAAACACTTAAAGTCCAATACCGAGAGAACTTTCAGAGTAACAGTCATCAATTCAGTAGGAAAATACCGCCATTAACTCTCATGATTCACGTAACGTATCAGAGAATATAAAATAGTTTCAATAACTTATAACTTTCAATAATAACTTAACGAACACAACAGTAAAGTCCTTTTAAATAATTGTCTCTTGGACTTCAATAAGTTAATACAATAACAAACATTTAACCTGTAAAGTCACAACGAAATTGCATTAGAATGTAAAAAAAAAAAAAATTCAGGTGTAGTTCATAATACGACACACAAAATACAACAACAGTAACAAGGATGACCAAACACTGACCCTCGGCTGCATACCACAGAATGCAGAGTTCGGCTGATTAAAAGCTACTTAATATACCAGTATACCTCTGCTGCAAATGGTAATTACACGGTGTACGGTGCGTAATATTCACATGAAGAGCAGCGTAAATAATTCTGTACATACGTAATAAGAATATTTCACAAACATCTACATTTTTTTGCAATAAATACATAAAAAGTTGATGTGAGCATGACACAACACAGATCTTAAAGCGGAATGTCCGTTCAATAAACCAGAATATTTAATTTAATTTAATTCTCCATAACCCTGACCTTGACTCTTAATGACGCCGCCCTAAAACAATAGGTTTCCACCACTTTCTGATCCAGACAAGGCCCCAGTGACCACCACGCATGAGACACTACTGGTAACATTATCCACACAATAACACCCACACTTCTTTAAGGAATTCGCCAACTACGCCGATAACAAGCGCTAAAAAATAACATACACTATATAACAATAATAATAATAATAGTAGTGGTAACAATAATAATAATAATAATATAATAATAAATACGCTAAAGAATTATTAAATCGACATAAACAACACTACAGGCAACACAAACACAGTATATGAATATGGTCGACAGTAAACGGTATTACAAACTGTTGTCACTAACCAGACGAGGCCACTGATTGACTCACCTGCCTCATGTCTACCTGCCACGCCCATACTACGCCCATTTATGCCTCACTAGGCCCACATAACGTCCTACCAAGTCTATTTCATACCTAACCACGCCCATATATGTATCATCAAGTCTACTTCACGAATCACCACGCCCACATCATCCCATACCCGCGCTCTTTGACTTGTATTAGCGTGGGTGCCAGGGCGTGGTAACCATCACGCATCAATCCTGTGCTGATGACTCAACTATCATCCTTACAGTCTGTCAACAGTTACACCTAGAGTCACCTCAACTACACCCATAATCACCTAAATAACTATACCTAGAATCACATCAAGGAATACCCAGAATCACATCATGTTACACTTAAATCACATCCAGTTACACCTAGACTCACACCAACAGCTAAACCCACAATTACCTCCCCTACAATACTCGCCTTAGCCACCCACCTCAACAACAGGTAGCCAATCATTAGAGCCTGTAACAATTAATCAAAGGCTCTGTATATGTTCAATTACATTTACTACACAGCGAGGGACGGGTGGACAGAAATGCAGAGAGGAACTACAAAATCGTACTTACACACCCACACACACACACACACGCGCGCGCACGAACAAATGAACGCATACACTCGCCTATCATTATCACCACGTCACGCCCAACACGGATCAGGTAAAACACACTATCTCTTGTTTTGAACATTGAAACACCGGTACCTACAATACTGTAATCTGGTCATGGTTGTTATCACTAATTAAAGGTTGCCAATCAGATATATATATATATATATATATATATATATATATATATATATATATATATATATATATATATATATATATATATATATATATATATATATATATATCCCAACAAGCTCCAACCTAACCTACCCAGTAGAACAACCCCATTGGTATTGGAGCACATTAAATTAGGTATAAATTGTGATGATTTAGGTTCGGTTCGGTTCGGTTCGGTTAGGTAAGGTAAGGTAGGGTGCAGTGTGGAACTATTGGGGTTGGTGTTTTTATTTGTCTTGTACTTGAACTACTAAGGGGTGTTTTAATGATAATGATCCATTGGCATTAGATAATGATGTTACTCCTATACGGTTGATGGTGATTACTATAACCAATATCACCACCGTCAACATCTACGGTCACTAGGTCCAGGCACCCAGAGAGAGAGTCACCATCAGCATCTACCTCAGTGGTCACTAGACACTGGCACCAGGGAGTCACGTACTCTCCTTCACGGTTGACGTCGCATTATACGGACAGTGACACTCCTGTGGTGAGATTTGCCACACTAACTTCCCTTTGGAATGTACTCTCCCTTTCTATTTCTCATAATTAAACTAATTACCTTCACACACTTATAAAATATGTGAAAAAAATCTACTTGGTGTTCACTGTCTTATATAAAAGCGGTAAATGATCACCCTCACACTGCCTGGCCAGGTATGAAACTTAAGTACAAGTGAATTTTGTTGGATAAAACACAAACATCAAGGCGCCTTTTTTACACATTATAAATAACACAACACTTCGTACACTTAGTTATGTGCTTTTAATAATATTTCTAAAAAAGAAGTGTCAGGTGTGTGGCCGCCGCTGGTGAGATCAAATGAATACATCGTCATGTTCGCGGTCATTTTATGTAGAAAACGTCAAACCCGTGGACAATTAAGTTAGTGTGTACGTGTGACAGTGTGTGCGTGTGACAGTGTGTGCGTGACGGTGGGTGAACTTTGCGTGACGACAGACTCATCACCTTTAACTTGACAATGAGACGCTGATTACATTACCCGAATAAATAGCTTAACTCCAAACTTACCCATAACCTACTTAATCCCAACTTTACCTAACCTGACCTAACTTACCCTACCCCTAACTTAATATACCCTCATCCGCAATCTAACCCAAGGTCTTTATCCTACACCCCCCCCAAAAAAAAGTCCGCCTGTGTTTTTCATATGAAGATTCAGGTCAAACTCCATAAGTTGGCTTTGCCACAAAAGAGTTTAATTAAGAACAGCAGTGTGAGATGAAGATGTAGGTCATAGCGGCAGACGAGGCACAAAACAAGCAGCAGCATCAGTCACAGGAGATGAAGGTCCATTGTCGACGAGGTGTGAGGCGGTGAAATTGAATGGTGAGGCGTGTGGTTCGCATTAAGACTGGCTGGGGGTCACCGTGCACCAACACTGTCTTCCCAACCCTATACACGCTGCCGTGGCGACCTGTGGTGTAATGGTTAGTATGCTCGCCTTGCAAACGAGAGGACCCTGGTTCGATCCCCGGGCAGGGTGAAACTATGGGCAAATTTCGTTACGCCATTTGCCTCTTGTCTACCCAGCAGTAATTTGGGGAACTGGATGTTAATCGATTTGCGGATTGTATTCCGGGGTAATGGTTAGCCAGTGCAGTTGGCGAGTTGTCCGGTCTTCTCGGACTATTTCTTGACACCGGGTCATGCAACTCGTTAACTTAGGGTGTTGTGGTTGTGTTGGCTACAGCTTCTACACCTTGAGCAAATTCAGGCCTAGGTGGCCCTTGGGCCGGCTATCCTCGTTACACGAAGGGCAACCATGATACACGCTGCCAAGTGCTAAGTCACACCATGCCTCGACCCCACACAATATACTTGACTCACTTAACGTACCGCCACGAGTCACATACCCACAGCCTGATTCACCCTACATAACCAACACTTACTAACAGCCACACTCACCAACACTAACCCCCACAATCACCAACATTAGCACCCACGCTATACTAACACCATGCTCACCAACACTAACACCCATTATCATTCATCATCACCAACACCCACACTCAACATCACCAACACACAATTATGAAAAGTAATACAATCTAGAACTTAAAAATTAAACCTATTAAACTATCACATAAACCGGTCGACTGGCGCAAGATAACACAAAACACCGTAAAAAAAATTAGAGTTCCCTAACATTAAAATTTGGTGTTTGGTTCAGAATCTCAGTAATGTTAGTCTTGATACTCACACACCACCAGTCTGCCTGTCTATTTATCAGTCAAATTACCCACCTATTTACTATATCTATTCATCTTTATTCTTTACCTTTCTCTAATTTCTAATTTATGAATGTTACCTTTCAGTCGCACACCAATCCGATAAACCAATTGTAAACCCGTCATTTGAAAACCATTTACCAAGAGTATATTTCCCACATGTCTAAATACAATATATCTCTCTCTCCAGTCTCACATAAATTGATCCAACAGCTGCAAAACTTCCAATCATACACAAGACAACAGCGGCACGTTCACTTACACACACAACTTCGTGATACTTCTAAATTGTTCAAAAATCTTTAAGACTCGATCAGTTAGTTTTAGTCACACGTAACCCCCAGCATCACCAAGTCCTTAAGTAACAATAAGTAACACGTCACACGCTGCGTCCTCCAGTCACACCTAACTCGGTCAATTAAGATGAAGTGACCGCCAGTAGCTACGCCTTAAAACCAACAGTATCTGGAGTATGACAGGTACACTCCCTGACCGCTCAAGATACACACACTGACCGCTGAAACTACACACCCTGACCGCTAACACTACACTCCCTGACTGGTGAAGATGCACCCCCTGACCGCTGAAGATGGCTAACCGTAAAGCTACTCGAGCTACTCACACGACCAACAACCACAAAATACCAACCCGTCATTTTACAACCCCCACGGCCCAAAAATAAAATTCGAGTAACTGAATCAACGGCAATGTATGGCGGACGACCGGATAGATAGACAGACAAACACACTATCCCCACTACATCCTATCCATCTGAAATTTCGATCAAGGAATAAAAAAAAAACAAGTATTACTGAATGTTTCCTTGTACAGAATATCATATATTTTTGTTAGAACTGCAGATGGGATCAAAGTCACTTGGCGAAACGAACCAATAACTTTAACCCGATTCTTAACCGTTTCGTGTTCTTATGAGAGTCGTCCATAATCTTTACCTTAATTAACAATCAGAAAGCGCGTCTATATCAGGTCGAGTCTTGGTGAAATTAAGATGCCATTTACGCAGACATATGCTTGCTAGGGGGATACGGTCTCACGTTTATATTTACCATAGGAATACCATAAAACTCAATTATGTGTCGTATCTTAAGAGAACCAGTTATATGCGTTTTCACATCACTAGTTGCGGGAAAATTTAACAG